TGGCGCGTTTTGGCTCATACCCTAAAAATGGCAATTTCAACAAGCTATAAAAAATTATCTGTAGGGTATTTTTAGCTAAAACTTCACATACACACTCTGGGGACATCAGAGACTTCGTTTTACATCTTGTAAAAAGGGGCATAATAGGTCACCTTTAAATTAATTATAATTGATAATTAAATTTCATTTTTTAAATGAATTTATACTATTTACAACATTTGTGAATACCTGTTCTCTACTGTTAATTACTGATCTTTGTAATTTAGAAAATCTAAAGCAATTTACAGTTATTGCATATGTCTCTTTGGAGCAATCGGAGCAATCTAGGTCAGCATCTCTACATTTCAAGAAGTGTCACTTCTAGGTTTGCCACTACACCACACCAACCACACCAAATGTAACATGTTCAGTGTTGTAAAAGCAACAAGAGAAATACTGTGTGATCTATGAACCTCTCAACAATTGCTATAATGGAGCAGATAGGAGGCCTATCAGAGGACATATGTTGACATCATGGATACAGACATGTTCACTCCATACTTTGCAACGCTTTCATTCACCATACAATCCCCCTGACGGGAAAGCGAATTAGGCATGATGTCGATTGTGAATTTCATACACTGACGAACTGAGCTCTTATTTGAATGCAAATTGCTGTTGGGATGAGACGCTTTTTACACACCAGTCACAAAAACGGATACACTTCTTAGGTGTATGCAATCCTGACTGCATAGCATTCCAGCATACTTGAACTACATGTAACCCTGTTTATTTATGCTTTGTTTGGGTTTTAGAAACTGGGCCAGGGTCCAAATGTTCCTTTTGGGGGCATTAACAGGATGTTGGCTTAGATTTTCGGTAAAATATACAGAAAGTCATTGCACATTAGAGCCCTATGCAACCCCCTTGACAACTTCTCTTCACTTGCAAACCAACTGTGAAGGCCCCTCTCCTCTTGTTACTACTCCACTCACAATCACCACCAACATCCATCTGTTTATTTACTTTTACTGTCGTCACTGAAATGAATTTGCCTGGATTCAGCACAGAAGAAAGTC